TCGAGAACCTATGCCCCACCAAATTGACCTTAAATTCCCTCCAGTGGGACTTGTCCCACTGGAGGGAGCCTCTATTAATTTTTACATAACATGTCAAGAAAATTGAAATAAAATGTAAAAGTAAAGTTGTCCCTGTGTTTAACTAATTAAGCACTACTCCATAAAGGCGCATGGACGAATGGATTTATAGATACATATCTTCCTGACCTCGGCACTAGCTGGAGGTGAGTGGTCAGCTTCACGCCCCTGCCGCTTTACCACTGGGGAAACAGCCCCCGGTAACCATTGGATAGGAGGCTGGGTGGGCCCTAGAGCCGATCTGAAAGACGTGGAGAAGAGAAAATTCTTCACCCTACCGGGTCTCAAATTCCGACTCCTCGGTCGTCCGGCCAGTAGCCAGTCGCTATACCTACTGCGCTATCCCGGCTCAAGAAAATTGATATATGAGTGAAAAAATAAATCTGAGTTTTCCACGTCTGTAGCCAGAAGACAACATTCTTCATAGTCATTGCCGCGAAAACCACAAATCTTATATGTTATAGCCTTTTAGAGCTCTTCTCACGTATATGAAACTTGGAATTAAGGGGGACCACAGTATTGGCTTAATTGAAATTAGCACAGGTCACAGCAACGTAGACTAAACTACTAATAAACAATAACATCATGTAATGGAACGTCGCATGCTTAATCAATCCGGCTGGACGGTGCGGACAGTAATATGCACTCTATCAATTTCACACTGAATATTAACAAATACGTACACTAATTGAATGACAACGTAATGTCACTTGAGTCTTGATCTGTTGAAGTACTGGTAGCACTTAAACTGACGTGAACAGATTCCAGAGCTGTCTCCATGTCGCCAGCGTGCACTGCGACGCAAAACTTAAGTGCTTTTCCTTCTTTGTAATCTGCTTTCCTCTGAACAAATCAGATCTCTTCGTGATGTAAAGCACTGTTATAAGTAACAATGAAGAGGCTGACTGCATTTCACATAACAATGTGCTAATTCTGCTTCTCTTAGAACGTGGCATGAGCCGGTTCTATCTCACTGACACGGAAACCCATCTACCTTATTTAGCTTCAATGAAGCATAGTGCAGAGTGAGCACACCGAGGTTTGAACCATGGGCTCATGAAAGGGCCTCTGGCTGGACCGGTAAAATAATTTCGGTTTCCAAAGAAGGAACGTGCGCCGAGCAGTTTAACGCAGCGGTAAAATCATAGAACTGTTTTTGGGAGGTGCTCGGTTCGAATATTGGCCGGTAAATTGTCCATACTGAGTTTTTGTGGTGTTCTCTCTTCCTCCTGGAATATACATAACGGCTACGACACTATCAGTTTCTTTATATCCTTTGCAATCCATTAGCTATCAGTTATTTTACCTTTCGACTTGATGCGGTCTGGACACTGATAAGGTTAGACTTGAAAGCATTCTGACCATGGTGTATACTGTACTTATTTTGGTTTGTTTTGGACATCATCCATCGTCTGGTATGTATAAAGACAAAAGACACCGACGTTTCGGAGACTGGATCTGCCTCCGAAACGTCGTGGTCTTTTGTCTTTTTACATACCAGATGATGAATGAAGTCCAAAACAAGCCCAAAGAAGTACTGATAAAGTTGCAAGATTAGAATTTTGCATGAACTTATCTGATAGAATCTGTTTTTCCGTGCCATGAGTTCGTGCATATATTATGTTTTTATTACTACTTGTACTGATTATTGTGGTTTTGCGACATCTTTGAATGGCATGAAGCTCATAACAAATTATCTCATATTCCAGCCAGAGATCCAAAATCTGAATCTGGGGGACCCGTGATAGTTATTGCTTCAAACCAATGCTGGAACAATTCTTTCATGTCAGGATTGCCTCATTCAAGAACATCTTCAAATTATCATTCATGGTCATATTTCTATGTATCCAAGACCATATAATCTATGCCACTCGAACATCTCTAATACCTAGTGGAGGCTGCAAATTGTCAGCCCTTTCAGCTCCGATCTTGAGATGTTTATAATAGAGCCCTTTAAAATTGTTTTTCTCATACGTAATATGCTAAGGTGAAAATTGAATCAACTGATTCTGACATAATTTTGTTTATTATATTCCTGGTGTAATTATTCAACAATATAATTTACTACGAGCACAACTGAGAATTAAGAAGTCACTTCTAATAGGATTCAGTAGATACTCCAGTCCCATAGGAACACTAACACTGTACAGAATATCGCATTTGAATTAATAAATAAAATTATTTTTATGTATGTTAGTATAACGATAGTGCTAATGTTAAGGCGAATAATGTATAATGTTTTAAATATATGTCCCTTTCTTATAGGCCCCCCTACCGAACTTCGTATCTTCCTACATATGAAAGTTTCTGCGGCGCCACTATTTATTACAGAATGCTAGGGGGTTTAAATGTTCATGGATATAACTTTATCTTCCTTTTTCAAAAAAGAATAAACCTTATATTACGGTGTTCAGGAACCATGCAGCAATTACAAGCGGTCATTTTACTGCTTTTGCGCAGACTATTCAAGTCATTTATAATACCAGAGTAATAATTGCTGGCTTTTTATTTTTCCTGCTGTGGCTGCAAACCGCAAAGCCACAAAATTTCCCATTCTAGCTGCTGACCTTGTTTCAACACTGTTTACACAGATATTACGTCAGAACAGAGAACGACGCTAGTTGAACAGTACCTCCGTTTTTATATATGTTGAAGAATTAATTAAAGATTGGTTTATTTTTTCGTCTTTTCTCTGAAAGATTAGGCCCTCCGACCTGTTGCTATTTCAGAATTAATCCTACAACTATAAAGCTTACAGCGAGATGGTAGCACTCCTTGAGTGGGAAGGTAAGCTCTCGAAAAGTCGTCTTGTACACAGGGCATCGAAAACACAGAGGACACGTACACACACATCGATGCCTGCAGTAACCATGATCCCAGTGCTCGAGCGAGCTAATATATTTCGTAATTTAGACCACTCGGTTACTTCGATCTGCACTTATATTTTCTTGATATATAAGCCCATTTTTTATTATCGGTCATTAACTTTTAACAATATGTAGATTATACAGATTTTTGTTAGTTGTAAATAAATATTTTGGGTTTGAAGTTCTCAAAGACCTTTAAAATTGAGGTGATATGTTCCTCCGAAACATCAGTTGACATTCACCGGACTTCGTCGAGTTACATCTCATAAACCAGAATAAACATTTGCCTACCGTGGGAATTAATTTACTGAAGCCTGTCGAGCAGTTCTTATTGGACTTGATGATATTTTCCTTTGTGTGGAGGGAGCTTGTAGCATGCAACACATACCAAGCCGACAAAAAAGAATTTCGTGTAACTGTCAGATAGTCTGGAATCACTCGCGTTTGTGCTCATTGCACAGGCAACACGCAGAACTTCCGTGAACAACGAACTGTCTGAGGTTCTAGGAGCAATTGTTATGTCCATAACCTGATGCTTCTTACTTTTAGGGTTGATAGCTGTAAGCAAGTTTGATGGACTGAGAACTGACAGGATAGTTAGTTAGTTATTGGAGAGGGTGGGTTTCCCCATGCACTTAGACCTGTATTGGTCCATTGTGCTTCCCTCTATGATTTCTACCAGTCTCTACATCCTACCGGTACTGGTGCTTACTATCAGTCCCGCCCAGCCAGCGAGACCGGCTCTACTAGCTGAGAGGTATCTATAATGCTTCCCCCATCTACCAGAGGTATTAGTGACTGCTGTTGGGCGGGAAACGTCCGTAAATTTGGCTCAGTGAGCTCCGTTGGAGGTATGAGGTTCTTTTACGTGCCGTAAAGCTACGACACGGGACCCACGGCTTAAAGTCTCTCCCGGAGGACTTGTTCCTTGAATTTTTCCGCCCTTAAAGATTCGACGACCTCCGCCGGGTATTTGAACCTGCGTACTACGAGTCATGAGGTGGGAACGTCACCTCTAGACTACGGAGGCCGCTACTGACAGGATAAAACGAACGCATATAAGGAACAGAAATGGAACGCTCTGTTCCAGTGTTAGAGAGGTCGCAGACAGTGCTAGATCTGCCTCAGTTTACGCGGTCACTGCGAACGGCTTTAGGCAAAACTGAAAGCTAAAATATCACAATAATCATTGTCATCAGCCTGTCGCAATAGAGAGGTTAATCTACCTCTTGACACGATCGGCCTCTTTCGTCATCCAGTCTCGCTGAACATCGGAAAGCTGTTTCTTTGCATTCTGTCCGCATGTTTGAGCCAGTTGGTTTTACATTCCGAAATTCTGTTAATTACGAGATATGCTTTCATCTCATTCAACATACCTTTATTTTTGATGATACGTCAGTGTATTTTGCCACTCGTCTCATAAATTTAATTTCAATAACTATAATTCTGGTCTTGTTCAAGTAAAATATAGGGAAAGAATTACAGGTCTGTCTAGAAAATAGCAAGAGGATTAACTTGTTAAGTATTTTGCATGGGGCGTAACGAGATAAAAGTATTAGATTTATTTTTCAGACTCTGCTCTTTCGCTAGCAGCTTTGTTTAAACAGAGCAGCGCCTCTATCGGAGACCCGGAGAAGCAGCGGCTATCGGCAAAACTGCGTTTTACTTTATAACTCGGTTCCACTACTTTCAGGCGATCAATAATATTCTGTGATGGGAATTTTATTGATGTGCAGGTTATTACCCTGTTGCATGAGGAAGGTGAGGAAATTTGACGACCGTAATATCTGTTCGACACTGTGTTGTGACTGCTATTGTGTCTGGACTAGAGCACGTCACTTTCGACACTAGACCAAATCATAGAAGATCTGAGGGGAAGAAAGTTAATTATATGTAACTTTAATGTAATTATTATGCTTCTTAGTATATTTCATCTTTCGAGAACATACGTGTATGTCGCCCTCGGTCCGAAATTCGAAGAAATAATATTCTGGTACAATGTCGGGAGGAGATGAACATGCCGGATGTAGCAATTTGGTATACGGGAGATCTCACCTCAAGGTCCAGGTGGTCGTACTGGCTCTGCAATTCGGGCCCCACTATCTCCAGCAAGTGTCGGCGTTCCTCTGCGAAATCTGTGAAAACAAAATAAATTAATTTTAGTAGGATCTGAAGTGATCTGTGACTGGTTATAGGCTGGGCGACCGGGCTCTGATTTCAATGAGAGAGAAGGCATTTGCCTTGACTTTGGTGCCTGTGGAGTTTACTGTGTACTGGATGTCATTAAAACAGTTTCTCAAAATTCCAATACCGTCATACACTACGAGGTTAGGATGTGGTAGAGTAAGAACGCTTTATGCTCAAAATAATTAAAAATATTCATCAATTAATGCCTTCATATCATTATTTGAAAGTAATTTTTTCAGTTGACCTAATCCTTCCGGCCGCACTATGGCCCTGGGGTTCACTCAGCCTCTAACAGAAATGAGTACCAGGAATTAAATAAATAATTTTCCTGGGGAGTAAAGCGCGGCCGGCGCGTAAGGATGACAACCTTACCGCCATCTTTGAGCCGATTGTCTAGATAGTGTGGGAGCCTCGACGTCTCACAACCCTATGGGCCTTCACTGCCTGTTACAGGGATAGCTTCACTTTTTTTCCTTACTTTATAACCTTCATTACCTACAGACATTTCTGTGTTATTCAGGAGTTCTTAAGAAAAAAGACGGTGATTTTTATCTTGGTGTTGAAGGAAAAGAAAGAATAGAAGAAACTGGATGAAGAGAAGCAGGAAGAGAGATTGAGAAAGATAATCCATCAGGAAATATGGTAAAATATAGGAAGTCACTGTCACTTCCATGCACGTACAAAACCCTCCAGAACTGAATGGCAAATAAACATTTTGAACACGTGTACATATATGTACAGGCTATGTATACTGATTTATTAATTGTTTTACATTATTTACATTTTACGTAAATTCATTGCATGGTGAAGAGTTCTTCTTGAGAAGCAAATAGTCGCTCAGCCAGTAAAGCAAAAAACCCCCAGACCCTTTCTACGGAATTGTATATATCATTATCTTATTCACAAGACCTCCCCACTGGACCACATGATGAGTCAGAGAACTTCAGTCCACAACGTCACATCCATACCGAAGTTATTCTCCCGTCTAAGCCGAGGACTCCCAAGCCCTACTAAAATGTTACATACCTGTCTTGCATCCCCTTATGTGCTGCATATTTCACCCATCTCATGCTCCTTCAACGACACAAATTTAGACTTCAAATAGAGTATAAAGTGAAAAATCACCTTATTTCATAATTTATTCTAGCCTGTTGTTACTTACTCTTTCTTGGGTTCGAATATTGGCCTCCTGTTTTCAAACACCTTCAGTATGTGTATATATATATATATTACTCTATAAAATAGATTTTGCTGTTATTTTGTTTCAACTAGAAATTTTAACTACAATATATAAATTTCGGAGCCAGGCTAGCGTAGCCGGTATAGCGACTGGCAACGAGTTGGAAGGCCGAGAGGTCGTATTTCGTGTCCCGGTAGGGGCAAGAATTTTTTCTTCTCCACGTCGTCCACACCGGCTCTGGGGTGCACCCAACCTCCTATCCTGTGAATACCGGGGACTCTTTCCCCGGGGGTGAAGCGACAGAGGCGTGAAGCTGACCACACCTAGTGTCGATGTCAAGAAAATGTGAATCTATACACTCCCCCATACGCCTTCACGGCGTAGTGCTCAATTCGTTAAGCACAGGGACAACTTCACCTTTACACAAATTTATCTTCAACGCATTTAATACCCATGCAGCACGTGCTCTTATTCCCTTGACCTCCTTCACTGAATTACGGCAGTTGTGCTCCTTCCAGACCTGCACATGCATGCCTCCTCTCACTGGGTGGCGCAACAGGAAACATGAGTGAGGAGGTATGTACTAGAATTTGAAGTACTATTATCAGCTGCATATGTAGCTGTGGGAAGTTTAATGCTGCTGTTAGTACATACTCGTACATTTCGATACGACCGGGGTCACAGACATAAACGAGAAAAGCTGGTTAGTTCTTTTTTTTTCTCTGGAGCTGCTGTTTTTAACAAACGCGCATAGTTTATTTATTTTCTTCCGCGATTCTCACACTGGGATTAGTAGAGAACCATTCTGATTAAAGAAATAAATCTGATTTCAAAACAAGTGCATAAACATCTTACACAGGAGTGTTTATTTCTCACTTCCTTTAACGTCATTTCTTCCACAGCGTGAAATGGTTAGATGGCTGCAAACGATGCTATGAGGAAAATGTGAGGAAAAGCATGAAGGACTCTTTAAAGGTACTATCTCAGTACGTACCTCTAGGGATTAAGGACTGTGAAAAGGCTCAGATTATTTAACAATTCTTTCTCAACTGCTGGGTTTATAAGCGCCTAAGTGAGGATCTTGAACGATGAATTTGGAAGAGTATGGAAGTAAGAGATAATGAGGTGCTTCATAATTTTTACTCTTGATCAAGTTAAAGAGGATGTGATGGGCAGGGTACGTAGCATGAGTGGGGAGAAAAGGAATACATATAGGGGAAAGAGACCACTGGGAAGATCAAGACGTAGGTGGGTGGACAAAATTAAAATGAATCTTAGAGATAGGATGGGATGGTATGGAACCGATTGATCTGGCTCAGAATAGGGACAAGTGAAGGGCTCTCGTGAACACGGTAATGAACATTCGGGTTCCATAAAATGCTGGGAAGTTCTTGCGTAGCTGCACAACTGGCAGCTTCTCAACAAGGGCTCAGCCCAATGAGAGAGATTGAAGAAAGCGATCGTGGCGGATTTTAAGACCTTATTTACCGAGAATGGCTTAGGAAAAACAGAATAGCCTCAGTACTTGTGGCGAAGCTTTATTAAAAGAAGGAACTTAAGGGACCAGTGAACGGATAATTCTCAAATGATGAATTATTATGGATGTGAAAGAAGCGATCTTGGGCTTTCGCAAGGTACCATTTCGAAGGGAATTAGAGAAACCACGAAATAAAATACCAAATAGTATTGCCGGACTCCGGATAGACAATCGAAACCGGAACCCCCTGAATGCAAGGCTTCCTTCCGCACCCTTCTCACTTAATGATTTGCGAATATACCCCTTCGTATTCTACATAACATTTACACTTCAGAGGCTTTGTTAAGTAAACCAAGTGGTAATTCCTGTGCCAACAAACACCATCACTTTACTTTTGTTCTTAAAGTCGCCAGATCAGGTCGAATTTGTCTGCGCTGTGTATCTAGAATACGTAATTTAAAAACATCGTACTACAGATGTCTAGTACATTGTGTAAAATGACTTTCAGCTTGGACCGAAAGTAGTTGTGGTCGATGGGAGATAAAAACAACCATATTATTATTATTATGAAACACGGCATAAACTGTTTATCCACAGTGGGATTGTTGTAAAAAGAAATTCTAAGGTGGACTTTCGATTTCTGCTTAACTTAAAATGCTTCAATCTAAATGGTGACTCTAGTAGGAAAGGCGAATTAATGTTCATAAAATTTACCAGTCTATTTCTATGTATATTTCATCTTATACATCAGACTCCTACTGAGCGAAATATGACAAATATAATCCCATATGTTCCCACGGTGCCGGTCACGGTAGCCGAGCGGTCTAAGGCATGCACTGTCTTCGCTCGCTCTGAAGCCGGGATCGTGGGTTCGAATCCCATTCAGGGCATGGATGTTTGTGTGCGTTTTTCTGTGTTTGTCTACAGGTAGAGACCTTGCGACGAGCTGATCACTCGCCCAAGGAGTCCTACCGTATGTGTAAGATCTAGTAAACCGAAGTGAAACGGAGAGTTTCAGGGAGGTAGGCCTAGGCTCAAATTGGGGCTGTAGCGCCACAGGAAAAAAAATGTTCCCACGGTACCACGTTTTTGTAGCAAATGAAATATGTATCATACAAAGCGTTTTAACAACTTATAGATTCGGTATCCTCAAAACTGTGGTTGTGAAGAGTTGTGTCTTCTAGGTTACAACGCCAATTAGACCTTTGTAGTTGAACCGATGTTTCGAAGGAATATTTGGCTTCCATTTTCAGGGTTGAAGGGTATGATCCTGCCTGGTTTAATCTTCGCCCTTCAGTTGATAGGCGACATATTCTTTCGAAACGCAGGTTGACTTCAAACGGCCTACATGGCGCTATATCTCAGAAAAAGGGAACCTTTAAAATACTTCGTTTACAACATCATCGAGAACACGGCGTACAATGAATAGGCATTCTTACGGAAGAAAATTCCTGATTGTGTGTTTAAGGAAATCGCTGCTGTGGCGATTTTGGTTCCCATCTTTTGTTGAACACAGAAGCAAAGTGACAATCTTCACCACAATGGCACACTCTCAAAGACATTTCAGAAACGCCGTATGTTTACAATAGAGCTCCATATAGAAGTTCAGACATACTTTTCGGTAGTTTTCGTCATAAAACAGGAGGGACGCAACAGCGTAGTTGGTTGAGGCACTATGCTACAAACTGGAAGGTCGCGGCTTCAATTCCCGATGAGGTCACCGGATTTTTCAACTGCCCTAATCCTTCCAACCGCACTATGGCCCTGGAGTCGACTCAGCTTGTAACAGAAATGAGTACCAGGAAAATTCCTGGGGGGTAAAGGGCGGCCGGCGCGCAAGGCTGACAACCTTACCGCTATATGTGTGCCGATTCTCTAGATAATGTGGGAGCCTCGACGCCTCACAATCACATGGGTCTCCACGTCCTGTTACAGGGAGAGCTGTACTTTACCTTATCGGCATAAAACAACGCTTAAATATAAATTGCTTGCTGTTTTTCAAGTGGTCTTTCCTTTCTTATTTTCAGAATAACATTTCGTATACTCGAACAATTCCAATTCTCCACACAGCAGCAGTTATCGCCATTATCATCACACAATCGTCACCATCCAATTCGTTACCCAGGTACTGACGTGTATTTTCTCTGTAGGTAACCAACTCCACACAGAAGTTCATACTTATTCGGCCGTTCTAGAAATTCCCTGTTTTCTTGGCCCTGGATTCTCGTTAGCGTGCTGGCGAACGTATAATATTAAACTACACAGTAGCAGAGCTGAATCCAGTCCAGATT